CCCAGGAAAATGGAAAATTACTCAGGATTTAAGTCCCATAAGAAAACCAGAATGAGCTATACTCACAAGAGAAAAATTAACCTACTCAACAAAAGAAGCAAGATACAGGTGTCAACCAAAATTAACGTAAGATTCTAGCTAAATTGTTTCCAACAGGATGTATTTTTGTGATTCTCTGTTTAAAAGCTTCGTAATTTTCCAGTTCAGGGCCACTCTGAAATGCGTCCACATGAGTGGCTGCTGAGCTCTGCTAATTAAATTCCAAATTTATCAATTTGGCTGCTTGGATTCCTATATGGTTTATGAACCCACTTCAAAACAACAGCAAACAAAGCTAGGGATGAGGATAAACCTGTGCAAACTCTTCTGGCCCTGAGTGGGAGCATCTGTCACATGGTGAGGACCTCTGTTCATTCTGCCAAGCCCTCAGCAAGTGCTGAACTGGCATTGAGCTACCAGTCTCAAATTCCCTGAAGGATGATGTCCGTCCACATTTGAGGTGGGGCTCAGTAGCGAGACCTGCCTGGCTAAGGCAGGCAGTAAGACTGGCACACAGCTTTTGCCCTCACAGTCATAGTCCACGCAAGTCAGCCTCGATGGGACTGAGGTGCACCTGGAGAACTGGGTATGCTGTGAAGGGAATTTCCAAGGAGTGGATGGGTTGAATGAGAAGAAGTGCCCTCTATCCCTTCCTCTGGAGCTTGGACACTCCTCCTCTACCCTTAGGTGGCAGGCTCCAGCCTCTGTGCCTTCTGGCTCCAGGTCCCGCCTCAGCCTGAGAGATTCACTTCAGTTCCTTTTTCTGTGGCTTTGGACTTGGACAGTGCTGTGCGGCTAGCATCCTGGGTTTCCAGCCTGCAGACACCCCGCTCAGCACCACAGTACATGAGCCAGTTCCCTTCCCTCTCATAGTCCATAGTTGTGTGCCCTATTAATGGCAGAACCCTGACAGACACACACTCTTGCTCAACCTTCTCCTTGTAAACACTCTCTGCCCTGATCCAGGAGCTGGAAACCAACAGGGCAAAGTTAAAGAAATGGCAGGCGCCATGCAATGGCAGATCCAACCCACAGAGCCAGCATCAACAACAGCAGGGAACACATACAGTTACAACCACAAGCTCTTCTCTTCCCAGGGGAATAGTCAGTCATGTCTGGAAGTTACTGCCTTATGGGCTAACAGCATGTTAGAGGCCACGGTTTAAAACAATGTTCTATGAAAAGCAAAGTGAGAAGAGGCTGCTGTGCAGGCTGAGGTCAATGTTGAAAGTGACAGAGGCTCAAAACAAACCACAGAAGCCACAGAACAAAGGTGTGGCAAAAGGGAAATAAATTATCACTAGTAATTCTCACTTTGGAGAGGAATTTCACTTATTGGGCTGACTCAGGATTTCAGTTTTGCTTCTTGTATCTTGTCCTGAATCCACAGATCACATCAAGTTTCCACACACCATCCAACTGGAGCCACAATGACAGACACCAGACAGAGGGCTGGCATCTGCTCAAGGCCAGATGTCCCTGCTTGCCATTACATGGTCCTAGCATTGTGGGATGAGACTGCCTTGCTTTCTAGAGCCACCACTCATCCCATCTCTCCACTGGCCAGAACCCAGCACTCTCGAAACATGCCAGGGCTCTGGGCTCCAGTGCTCACAGGATACAGGTCTCTTGAGAGCTGAGGGGTGAAGAAGCTGGCCACAGCCACACAGCTGTGTACCAGTGAAGCCAGGATGCTCTGATATGCAGTCCTCTGGTCCTGCCACTGGGTCACTTGCCATCTGAGGACCGAGTCTTGGACTGGCCCTCACCAGGCCTTACTGGAGTCCTCAAGAAAGGGACTTTCTAGCTACGAGTCTTCAGAGAGGTGTGCTTGTGACAGGACAGGCCCCAGACTGAGGAATCCAAAGTTTCACTGCAGTACTGCACTCCTGACCTCAGGTGGCACCGTTGACATCCCACAGGAAAGAGATTCCCTCAGACAAATTCCTCCTCACATCATGAGAACAAGGTGTTCTGAAAATTAGAAACAACGGTAAGTTGCTCTGCCTCTCAAGGACATGAAAGGAAGGCCCTGCAAAATGTCCAGGCTCAATTCTGGTCCCTTCCTGGACACATTCCAAAGGATAAGTGTCCAGCTTTTCCCTCTCAGTGTCTTGCAGGAGAAAGGGCAAGGTCAGCCCTGCCTGACTGTCATCTGGCGGCTGGGTTGGTGCACTTTGTCTCTGGGAGGGGAAGGCTGCTGGAGGGTGACTGTGCCCAAAACTGAGAAGACAGAGAAACAAGGAGGCAGTGCTGGCCACAAGGGTGGAGCGGGGCAACAGAAAGCAAAACAAGACAGAGCTGGAGGAGGAGTCCCAGGAAACCCAGTAGGGACAGGGTAGAGCCTTGGGCCAGCTGTTCAATGGTGTGGACACTTTGGCAGTTGGTGCCTGGGGGATTCAGGGGGCACAGGAAGATTATTCTACAGTTTGGGGTAAGATTGGCCTTTGGTAAGAGGAGAAGCTGGCAGTGAAGGAAAACTTGGTTCCAGACACATCTGGCTCCTGTGTCACTGTGTCCACTCAGCAGGTCTAGGCAGGGTTTCAGGGCATGTACTTGTTTGCCAGGTTCAGCATGGCTCAGGCATCCCAGGCCAAATACACATAGGGAGTGGAGTTCAGGTGAGGTGAGGCCTGATGTGAGTCCTTGGTAAGCTGGCAGGACCACAGTTGTACACCTGTCCACAAACCTGACATCTGGCACTGAAACTGGGTAGAAGGGCACATCAGGAGGACAATTAATCCCTACACAGGTGAGCTACAGGACAGCCCACAGCTTCAATGAGGTCAGGAGGATTATAGATCCTCATACAGCTGCGCTGCAGCATAGACCATCTCCAGGGTGAAGTCAGGAGGACTAAAGGCCCCCACACAGGTGAGTGTGAGATGATGCTTTGGCAAATTCATCCTTACTGCTTAAAGGAGCAGTTTTGTTTGTTTCTACCGCTGGACACAGTCCTACCATACTGAAGCTTTAAGCTGTATTCCGCTGTTTCATTCCATGGACACTGGAATTGTTTCCATCTGGGCCACAGTAATAAAATTTCTATTAGCAATTTGCATGCTTCTTTGGCTATTCTTGATATTCTGCCCAAGAAAATGTTTCACTAGTAAAAATATTTGGGGCTCCCATGTAGGACTTTTAGAGTACATTGCAGTTGATATTTTGCATTAAGTTCTCATCTCCAGCAGCAAGATGGAGAAGAATCCCTGGCCTGGTGCAAAGCTGCAGTAATGCCACACCAGGATGGGTATCTGACACAGGTAACATGTGCACCTGCTCTGATCTGGATCTGAAGTGTCCCCTACTGGCTCATGGGTTCACTCATGGGGCTTCTGAATGGAGACTGAATTTTGAGGTCTCAGACTACATCTGTGCAGTAATACACTTGGATTCATAACAGGATGACACTGCTGGAAGGTAATGGAAACTTAGTAGGTGGAGACTTTTTGAAGCAAATGTATCATAGGTACCACCACCCTTAGAGACAGTGTCTTGTTCCTCACCTCCCTGCTCCCTATTTGCCACAAGCTGCTTTTCTCCACCTAATGTTCCCCATTGTTCAGCCTCACCACAGCCCAGAAGTAATGGAGCCCATCAACCATGGACTGAAATCTTGAAACTGTTAGCCAAATGAATTTTCTCTTTTTTTATGGTGATGGAGATTGGGCCCAGGGCCTGTGCTTGCCAAGAAAGTGCTCTTACCTTTGCTTTGCCCCACCCATAGACATTTTTTTGAGTCAAGGTCCTAAGGTCCCCACTCTATCCTCAAATACAAGATTCACCTGCCTTGGCCTCCCAGTGGCAGTGATTACCTGGGCACCATTCTGCCTGCCCTCTCCTTCTGTGAGTTGATTTCCTCAGGCAATGTAACAGTGATGCAGATGCGTCCCAGTGCCCTCCAAGTGGTCTACACATCATGTATGGGCACCATCACAAGAATGTCTTAGAATGCCCCTGAACAGCTTATCCAGGGTAGATGTCAGGAAAACACTCATCCGGATGTTTAGGGAAGAGAGGGAAGAGGAAAGAGTTGAGGGAAGAGATAAGAGGATCCTGGATGCCACACCTATGCATTTGACACACATCTGAAGCCATCCATAGCTGTGGCGGAGGGAAGAACTTCGCACCTGTTGAGTGGGACAATGAGTAAAGTAGGGGTTCTGGAGCTGGAGAACTGTGGGCAGGACAGTGAAGGCCAGGACAGGACAGTGAATGTGCAGCCAAACAGTCTGTGCTCAACCCCAACACGGCATCAGTTTTCTGTGGGGCTGGCAATCCCCAGGCCCCTGTGGCCTCTGTCTGCTCATCTGTGCTCTGGGTATATCCATCAATCTCAGTCACCAAGTTATCAGAAAGATTAGAGAACCTCAGAAGCATTTGGCCATCAGTCAGACTCAGTGCAAAGGACACTAGTACTGGATCACCCCAGAGGTGACAGGATGAAAAGATGTCTGCATGTGGAGTCGCACTGACATAAGAGAATGCACACACCAGGGTCAGATATCCACACAAACAGTCAGAGAGGATGACATTTCAGATGGCCCCTCCCACTACTGCCCTTCCTGGTGACAGAGAAGAGACAGGAATCAAGGGGCCTCAATGCAGGTTCAAGTTGCAGATGCCAGGAGGTACAAGAGTAACAGGGTCTATGCCAGCCCTGTGCATCATACAAAATGTGCCTGGGGGGAGCACTCTTGATTTCAGGGCTAGGAGACTAGAACAGCAGAACACAGGACTTCTCAGGTAAGCAGTGCAACACAGGAATCTGAGAGAGAATGGAAAAGGCTGTGGGGTATGAGGTGCAGCTGCTCACATTGGCCACAGCCATTCTTGCACACCAACAGGGAACATGAGTGGAACTCATGGCTGCCATGTCCCCAGGATCTGTGGAGGATCTTGTCTCTCCCAATCAAGGCTCCCGGGATGACACAGGGGCCTGGACACAAATGAGGGCTTACCTGCACATACAGCAGGGGGAAGATCCCAATCCGGTCTCCCAGCATGCCCTCTGCCCAGTTGTCATCCACACGGCGGATCACAGTCAGAACTTCATCCTGGAGTTACCAGAGTCACCATGCACACCCCAAAAGGAAAACAGAGACTGATTAGACATGGGGTCCAGGGGCTGATCAAGGAAGGTATGGAGTCTACTCAGCCTTCCCTTCCACCCACTGTCTTGCTCTGATGAGAGTGACTATAGTCTCCTAGGTCCCCACTGGGGACACATGACAATGCAAAATATAGTTGGAGTTTAAAAACACAGGCTCCTTTGATTTATGTAATTTAAAAAAACATATTGGATAAAAATAAATTTAGTTAAGAATGACATGCTTTGTTTCTGGCTCCAAGGAAAAACAAAATAAGTGACCCAAGTCAAGTGGACTGATTTAGAGCCGAGAGTCCAAGGAGCTTTGCATCCTCTCATTCTTAGTTTCCCAACACATCCAGCATACAAGCAACACATGTAAACAGCTGCACATGGGAAGCACATGCAGAGAGGAACTCTTGGGGAGCCTGGACAAGCTATGAGAGGAAACACCTGGGCACACAGTCCTGGACTCAGAAACACCACAGACAAAGGACAGGAGTGCCAGGTGAGAAAAGGAACCCAGAAAAGACAGACAAAGGAGCTGGGTGAAGAGACATGCTGCAGCAAGTGCTGGAGAATATGAACCTGCCCCCAGCTCCCAGTTCAAGATGCCCAACTCAGGCATGACAGCACCCATGCAGGATGCTGCCCCCCACCCTCCTAGCCACACTTCTTCAGCAATCAGCAGGTACCCTCAGGCTGCAGCCAATCTCCCCCAAAGCCTTCCTGTCACTTACACTTGGGCATCTGCTAAGATCAATTGGCCCCTTGGGCCTCTAATGTGTGTGGAACTCTCAGAGGACCACGTCAGATCCAAGGTGCCACCCACACTCCCCAGAAGTCACCATGCTTCTGTGAAGCAGGAAGATGGCACCACAGCTCTCTCCAGATCAAGAGCAGATGTTCAAAATTGGACTTCACTGGAAGCAGAGGGAACTGTGCAGAGGGCACCTTGCAAAGGTGAGAGGTGATCGATGGGGCAGAGGTTGTGGGGCTCAGTGTCACATCATCCCCAGGCCTACTCCAAGCCTCTGGGATAAGAAGGGGCAAGTATGTATTACCTCTTTCCCATTCTCATCTTTCATAAACAGCAAGTAACAAGGTGGTCCAAGACTGGAATTCAGTCACACTCTGCACAAGGATCTCCAATCAAGGACAGACCAGACCTGTGACAGTGACTCTGGAAATTATGGAAAAACGCCCGATAGCTTTGTCACAATACTGTAGCATAAGGCATCATTCAATTGTCCATGGGAAGCTGTGTGAACCTATCCATCAACCACCCAACAGGTGAAGGTCAACATGGACATCACAGACAGTGTGTGATGCTTGTTGGTGAGCAACTGTATTATCTGTGTATTTACTGCACTACTATCACTACTATGCCTCTTCCAGTGAACACTGTAAGACAGGAAACACAGAGCCACCTGTAGGTGCCACCTCACAGGGGTGGCAGACCTTTTCCAGGGCAAGGAGCACAGGCCTCCTTGGGACCCTCCAGGCAGCTTGGAGGACTGGCCTGTATGTGTCCAAGAGTCACCACTAAACTGAGGACACATGTCCACCTGGTCCCAGCAGAGACCCAGCTGAGTCAGACCAGCCCTCACTGGTCATAAGAGGGAAAAGTAAGTTAACTGTATAAAATTAAAAATTAAAAAGAAGAAAATGGAGCAGATTAAATTTGACTTTAGAAAATCATAATATCCATACTATTGTTTATATTCTAGAAACTAAAGCCAAAGAATAAAAAATAAAGAAATGTAAATATTAGAAAGATGAGTATATAATTTTCTACCTACACAAAGTAGAGGAGGGTGCGAGAGGTGAGTTTCAGGACACTTGAGATCATTTGGAGAGAGCTTTGGACCATCACCCCCAGCAGTTATGACCCCTCCCAGCTTTCTGAACAAATGTAGGGGGCACAGGCTATCCTGTGGGCCTGACTAGGCCATGCCTAGCCACCTCCATTGAGCCCCTGGAGCTAAAGGCACACAATATGATTTCCAGCATGACCGCAGGAAGCTTTGGAACATTGCTTGAAACCTGGAATACAGGAAAATGACAAAATGAAAGACCAAAATGCAATCTCAAACCTCCAGCCCATCCCAAGCAAGCCTAGGAACCATGTACATAAAAGAAAATATAAGCCATACACCTGAAAAAATAGCAACTGAAATAAAGAAACAACTCTGGGAAGCTATAAAAGAATTCAAATCAGAAATAATCTCCCAAGTAAAAGAAGAAATGATAAATGTAATGAAATGTATATAATGAAATGGTAAATGTAATGACAGAAATGCTAAGCACACCTAAAGAAGACATAGTTAGGAAAGGGGTCTGAAAATGGCGGTTTGATAGGTTGCCAGGTAGTGAGCCTCTCTGAGAAAAACAACTCATACACTAGAATTTAACGCCATGAAGAAGACCAGACGAAAGGAGAGGGATTCTCACAACCTAGGAAGAAACTGAGGAAAAGGAAAAAGAAAAAAAGGAAGGAAAAACGTGGACGAAAGGCTGGAACCAGATGCTCTCACTGCGGCCTATCCTGTGCTGTGCTGGACATGCCTTGGAGTCAGACAGTTCACAGTTGTGCTGAAGTTGCGGCTACTAAAATTGGGAGCTAGTATGTTCAGGGTCCTTGGCGGGAGATGCTGCACAACGGAGAGCAGAACCAATGCAGAGAGCTGCATTAATCCATGGTGAGTAGACCATGGAGAGGGTGACATGCTGGGCAACATATTGGAGTTGGGCAGGATAGGCCTGAACCTATAAACACAGTGGCATCAGTTGGCCACTCCTGGCCAAAGAGGACTGGGGATCTGCTTGGGCTGTGTCATGTGCCACCAGTTGGGACCCAATTGCCAGGGACGAAACAGTTCTGAACATGTGACATCTGCACAGCACAGACTAACGTGCTGAAGACACTCACCAGTTGACTGGCTCAGAGAAGAAAGGAAAGCACACATCATCCCTATGTGCACCTCAGATCAATACTAAAATGGAAAAGGCAGCAATCCCCTAGCCAGCATACTTCAGAAAAACCATAAGCAATTTGGAAAGAGCCTGAGACCTCCACCATACACATGTATGAAAGAAACCAGAAACACGACAAGAGAAAGAAACAACAAAAAGCCTCCGGCCACTGACCCAGGGAAAATAAGTCTGGGGGAAGTAAATACAGAAGAGATCAAGGGTAGCAATCACGCAATATCGGTCACAGCATCAGCAGACATAAAGAAAACCTTTGTGACCTCAAAGATGAACTTAAAATGGAAATTCTAATTCAAGTGAGTAAAGATATAAAAAGATTAATAAAAGAAATAGTAAGCACCTCTCAAGAAAACACAGATGGAAGAAAGGAGGAACTGAGAAGAGAAACCTTTGATGAAGAATATAAACAAAATCTAGAATACATGAAACAGATCCAAAGAGAAAACCAGGAAATTAAAAACTGCATTCAAAGCTGGCAAAATTCTCTGACAAAAACTGAAGTTAGACTTTCAAAACTTGAAGATAGATTTGCAATGTGTGATCCTGAAAGAAAAGATCTTTTAAAAATAACAAGGAACCAGGAAGTAACAATACAAAGGCTAGTGGATAACAAGAGGACCTCTAACTTAAGAATAAAAAACGTGAGTGAAGAAGCAGGAGTAAACACAAATGAATTACAAAGGCTATTCACAGAAATAATTAAGGAAAGCTTCCCAAGCATAGGAAAATGAAAGGATATCCAGATAAATGAGGCCTACAGACTTCCAGCCAGCTACAACAAAAACAGATCTACACCCAGACATTTAATAATCAAGATCCCAGAAATTCATCACAAGAACAAAATATTAAAAGTGGTCAGAGAAAAGAAACAGATCATCTATAAAGAAAAACCATCAAAATCACAACAGACTTCTTGACACAAACTATCAAATCAAGAAGAGCTTGGAGTGAAGTATTCCAAGCCCTGAAAGAAAAGAACCTTCAACCCAGATTGATGTACTCTGCAAAACTCTCTCTCATAATTAATGGAAAAACAAGATTTTCCATGATGAAGAGGAACTAATGGGGAGTTTGTGACCACCAATCCAACCCTACAAAAAGTACTGAAGGACATTCTAGAGAGAAAGAAAAAACAGCAGGATGCCAGCAACAGTGGCAGAGAGGCCTCAATGAACGGGGCAGATGGTGGAATGAAGGAGAAAAGTAGACAATCAATAGCAGAAAAATAGCATAGCAGAGATGAGGCAGAGAAGGTTGGCTGTAATCTCTAATATAGATGGCCTTTATACACTAACAAAAAGAAACACAGGCAGAGTAGATCAGGAGATAGGATCCATTGAGATGCGCTGAATAAGAAATATACTCAACCTGAAAGAGGGTTAATAAACCAAAATTCAAAGATGAGAAAATGATGCTTTATGTGACACGGAATCAAGGGTAATAGGGATAGCTCATCCAGCAGCTGCAGATAGGTTGAAAATTCATGAAACTTTTGTGTAGTGGACTACTCAGCTGGAAGGAAGGAAAACCTTGTGGCTTTAGTTAGTACAGGAATATAGCTCAAGATCAAGCTCAGGGGTAAATAGATTCAGCACCAATAGGTAGATAATGGGGTACCCCCCTAATCTAAAACTAAATGAGTTAGTGGGACCCAAAATCTACTAAGCACCCTGAGATAGGGAAAGAGGAGGAATTTTCTAAAAAAAAAGGAGGCAGAGGACATTGTTAATAGTGTATCAGGATTTAAAAGCCATATCAGTCTTACTGCTCTGTTTAGTTTGATTTTATTTTATTCCAGTTGGTCTACTCATACTAGATCTGAGGGCACAGACAGCTATCCCAAAAAGAGCAGGCCATACAACAGTAAGTATCCTTAATTTCCTATTAACTTAAACTGAAACCCTGTATTACTTACATTGTCTTACTATGACTGATCTTATTTGAATCTGGTTTGCTAGATCGCTGTTTTTCCTT